TTCTAATGAGATGTTAGCGATATACGCTCTGTAATGCCTTTCGAAGTTATCTATGACGATCTGTGCAGCAAGAAGTCCAAATTTATACCCTCTACAATTTATCATTCCATGACGATTGTGTTTCAAAAAATAAATAGAATTTGTAAACACACTTAGCGAACATCAATGTACGATTAAAAAAGTTTTAAATTATTTAATTATTAAGCTAAAGTAAATAAGTATTATCTTCAAAAAACAATTATTAAAATTCTTTTTTGAATTTAAAGCAAAAGAAATTTAAAAAAAACATAATTCATACCACTCGTAAACCTGTTTGAGAGTATCGATGAGCAGCGAATAATCCAAAAACCTGGAAAAGTATTAAAATAGATTGAATAATGAAATTAATTAATATGTCCACTGTTGTTGAATTAGTTCTCTTATTTTTAAAAATATCCGTAATCAAATTGATCAGAAGAATAACCTGAAATAGAAATAAATATAATAGGAATGGATCAATGTTGAAATGTTCTCCAACAAAATAAAAAAATGTTTAATAAAGACTCTTGAAGATCCAGTCAAATTATCTTTAGATTAGAATTTTCTACTACGTTAGTGCACTTTTTCTTCATAGGAGAATATTTGAAATTTCACTGTTGGAGACAAACAAAGTGGGTCGCGATAGAAAATCATTTTCAAACTTATAGTGTTCAAAACAAAATAGAAGCCTAGTATGCTTTTATTCTGAGACGGGTAAGATTATTTTTGTGTTTAATTTCGGAAAAAAACGATTATTTATGTATTTTGTTTTTATCAATAACTACGGTTAAGGATTTTTTCATATTAGAAAACTCAAGTAAAAACGAATTTCTTTTTTACAAACTCTTAGAAAATGCTTTAATTAGTGATCTGTTTGAATATTTGAAGCAAATTGATCTTGAAATGTAATCGAATTTCAAAATCTGGCTAATTGAGATTCTTGTTATTCAAACAAAAAACTTATATAAGTTTCAAAGAAAATTATAAAACTTACAAAACATATGCCAACGGCAATCGAAAAATTTTTACGAGTTTTTCGTATTTGAAGATCTGTTGACATTATCAATCGTTTGGAAATTGGAGAATTCGAATTTTCTAGTATAACAATATTGACGTTTTCTTGTTGTTTTTCCATTTCAACACTCTCAAATAGAATATCTAAAATAAAATCATATATAACATTGATTGATATTATGTATCTTTTTCTAATTTGCATATCTGAAGTGCTGTATTCTATTGGAGTGACGAACAAACTGAAAACATTGTATTAATGACATGTTCACATGTGACTAGACCAGTGAAAGTTCATATATTTATGAATCGGTTTTACGACTATTATTTTTCCTCTTGAAAAATTTTGACTTAATGAAGATTTGTTTTGAGCAGGGCTAATTCCATCAATAGTATTAATCTAATGATTCGATTTAGCTGTTGTCACAATGATCAACAGTAAAAAGAAATAGATACGAGTTCGCCGATTTAACTAGGAATTATTACAGATCTATATGTTATATATCGCTTCTCTGCTTTTGATAAAAACATGAAATAAAACTACGAATAAAGAGTGTCTAGAGAGTCATTAGTCAGAAAAGACATTGAATATCTCTTCCATATTTTGATCTAATCCGTTGATATTTTTATAACTGATAGAGAAATGTTCATAAGAGAATTATTGTTTTGAAATATTACAACTGACTTCAAAAAAGAACTATTATCTTTTGCAGGTAATGAAAAGACTATATACTTATTCTTCGTAAAAAACAATAAACGATGCACCCAATTTTTTTCCATTAATTCACTATATTAGTGTTGTTTGACCTTATATTTATAACACAGATAGATATCTTGGTAGTCTCTGTGTACTAAGAGTTTCGATCATAAACCTAATAAATTCGTTAAGAATATGGTAATAATTGTGTCCTGAAGTCAGCTATAATACTACAAAACAGTTTTTGATAATAATTCTCTTTTCTATCAAAGATAAAAAAAAAATATTAACGGATTTGGTCAAAATATAGAAGAAATATTCAATGTTTTCTTTGACTAATGAGTTTCTGGTCATCTTGTCAATTTACTTGAACAATGATCTTCTGAAATCTTTAAAAAAAAAGTCGATAGTCATCGATCTAGGATTTCTTTTCAGTTCAATATTAGTTTATGAAAATTTTTATATAATAATATTTTGCTATAAGAAAATATTATCTACACTTTTCTAAATACTATTACAATAATTTCAAAGTAAAACGGATAGATTCATTTATTGAATCAAAAGATTTTTTTTCTTCTCGTATTGTGATATTTTGTAAAGAACATGTTACCGACTTCATTTGAATAATTTCGATGACAATAACACCGTTTGCGTTCATTATATGAAGAATATTTTATCTTGATGAAATGACCGACCAATATATTATTCTATTGTGAAAATAAAATTGACATACTGAAGCAATAAAACTTTCTTTGTACTACTGACAAATTAGTAGAAGGGCAAATTTTTATTTTCAAAGTTTGAAATGTCAAAACTTTTCGATTCCTTCTTCAATCGTGTTGTATTGGTTAAGAAAAAAACCTATATTTTAAAAAGTTGTTGAAAATCCGAACAACTTTCCTATAGAACTTTTCTTTGTAAGTCACTTCTTTTTCTACTAATATACTGAACTCTCAATCCATCGTAAATAACAATTCCAGTTTTTTTTAAATTTCATGATGATTTTTATATTTCTTCAAAAATTTACGCCTGACTGAAGCAAAATCAATGATACTAGATCTAAATAATCTGTATCTATTTGAAAAATTTCAGGAAATTTGTTTTGATTATTGATGAAATATGAAAATCCAGAAAAATTTTCGAGAGTCAATTTTCAGCAGCTATTTCAATTAAAAAAATGTCATAAAAGCATATTTAACTCTATTCTATAGACTAATCAATTACACGTTTCACTCTTAATTCATAACTTGTTTTTTTACTACAGTAATTTTCATTTAAACAAATAAATTTGAATAGTTACGCTGATTTTGACAAGCGAAAATCATAAATTTTTATACTAATTCAGTAGTAATGAGCTCTGTTAACATATGATTTCATTTATTATCATAATGAATGTTTCATTATCAATAAAATACTTTCAGCATATACATTATTGTCTGAAATTAATAATAAAAACAAAAAAAAGAAATGAATTTGTTTATAGACTTGTAGCTAGATCAATATAAAATAAAACTAAGCATCTATTGAATCAGTAATGATTTACTTAAAACTGTTAATTAATTTTTCGAATTGATATAGAATTATTTGTACAAAAAATTAGACCTTAACTGAAAAAGGAATGAAAATTTTTAATTAAATTAATCGACTTATTATTTAAAATAAAATAAAAAACGATGAATGAAACTGAACAAAGGTTACAAAAAAAAAGATTCAAATACAAACTTGAAAGAATTAAATCGATATTAAAAAATTTATAAATGGAATGAAGAATTTAACAGAGTCGATAGATGATGACTACTCTTTTCTTTTTTTTTCTTCCATGTTTCAAAAATATAAGAGAAAGGTCACAAGTAGTATTCATGTTATTGGTCAACAGTCTGGCAAACGATAATACATTTATATATTTTTTTAACTCATCGGTCAATACAAGGTGCATCTGTACACTAAAGTGTATCCAAGTTTTTTTTTTTAAGCCAATAGAATTCTTCGATCGATAATCGATTCATATTTAAGATATCATATTTTTTTTTGAGAACTAAAAACTGACATATAATATAAATGAATGTATATTGGAAACTAAAAGTTCATTTTTTACAATTCTATGTTTAAACTTGACTATTCGTAAAATGATGATTTATACGTCTCTATGATACAACGAATGAATCAAACATTCCTATTTTAGGATAGATATGATAAAAAAAATAAATAAACATTTGATGCTTTTACAAAAATTTATTAGTATTGAAATCTGTTTCAGTAACATCTAAATTATAAATTGATTCATCGTTGTATTCTATCAGTTAGGTTAAACTGTTTTCATAGTATTTATATTTGTTAAGAAGTTCAAATGTACAATCTATTATAGTAAAAAAAAAACATCATTTATTATTTATTTCAATTAAGAACAATCTAAATGAATTTAAAGAAATTTCATGTGTCTTAAAGTATTTTTTTTATTCTTCGTTTGATGATTCGGTTATTCACTGTTTAAGGAACACTCAATCAATTACTTCCTCTTTTTTGACGAACTGAAGTACAGTCATTAATCTATGTCTGTCATTTCGATTTTTTTTTAATGATTTATGTGAGAAATTTGCCAAACAAAAAGAATCGTGTTTTTTTTTCCGTAACAAAACATGAAATTTATTTAGTTCTTATTCCTTTTGTATTCAGACTACCTTATTCTTGTTTTTTTTAGATTACACTGACCTTTTATGTTTTTTTTTGAAACTCCTCATATTTTTCAAAAGATTTCAATATATGATTGTTTAATTTTTTATTTTTATTGAAAACTTTGAAAAAGAAAAGAAAATATTATCGATTTTTGCATGTAGAATAATTTGAATTTATCTTTAATAATAATGACTTTCTTTTCATTTTTTTTTTGATTATTCTTCATATGATCATCTCTTTGATATAATAAAAAACTTATTTTATCATCGAAAGAGAGACATCATTAAACTTATAAAATTGTCGAATTTCTTTTTATCAATCATTGAGATCAATAGAAATATTATATAAAATTCTTAAAACTAATGTTTATACAATATAATAAAATAATATTGTAAAAAATTTCATATGTCAATAAAAAGTGATAAGAACAGTTTTTTTTTTTTTATGTTATTTCTTCTATTAAATAAGTACATGAGATTTATTTTTATTACGTAATATACAATTCGTTTATGAATTAATTCATTTATAATAAAAGAAAAGATTTTAATTTCTAAATAATAAACAAATATAATATGAAACACTACATGAAAATTAAAACATGTTAAACTATTGTATAAACAAAAGGTTGAATTTGTTTAATGACAAGAGTTTTCTTAACATCAATAAGTCTAGCTAATTTAAAGGCTAATCTAACAATGATTAACTAAAAAGAAAACACATATAATATCAATAGAAATATATAAAATAAAATATTTACCTTAAGAATAAAACCACCTATATAAGTTAAAATACAAATAATAGAATCGATCGGTTTATTTATATAATGATTATTGTCTTTTGGTTTAGAAGTTGAATATTCGTTAGAGAAAGTATTGGAACCTGAACTTGAAGTAACAGAATTTATAAGATATATAATTACAATTGCTACGACAAATAATTCAAAAATGCCAAGCCAAACAATCTAAAATTGAAATATAAAAATATAAATTTTAACACAAATCATTTCAACAAAATAGAAACTTGTCTAATTAACATCTCAAAAGAATAAAAATCATCAAACATCGTTTAGTTTAAAAAAAAAACAAAAATATAAAAAAATTTTAATTTTAATGACAATATGATATAAGAAAAATTAATTGATCTTTGATTTTTTTTTCCAAGTCTCAATGAAACATTAATCATTATTTCATTATAAATTTATAAAAGATTTTCATTTTAATATCGTAAGTGCATTTTTCTTACTCAACTTTCAAAAACTAACAATTATTTAATAAAAAATATCAAATAAAATTCTTTGTAAAAGTTTACGGTTTCTTTTATTCGATTCAGAAAATCTGATGTGTTGAAAACAATTAATTTCTAATTAAAGTCAAAAACAAAATAAACTTTTCAAAGAACTTCATTCATTCGAATAATTGATTTGATTGAAAAATTTTCAACACAATCTGTTTTTGAAGTCTTTTAATAAGAATTTTATACATATAACAAAAAAAAACACAAGAAACAAGAGATAAATCTTACCACTCGTAAACCTGTTTCAGAATATCTATAAGCAACGAATAATGCAAAGCTATATAAAAGAATAGCAATAAAATATTGACCAATGACTTCAGAACGTCCATTCGGTTTTAAACAATATCCGATAGTGTCTATAAAATACGTATGAATGGCATCAATTGCGCAAATAACCTAAAAAAATAAAAACATATAATAAGAATTGAAAATAAATAATTTTCATTAAAAAAAAAAAAAATATCAAAATATTGAACTTTAGTTGTTAGTTCTGAATGTTCTCAATTAGAAAATATGAGTAGAAACAAACATTTCAGTAATGTTTGAAAATTTAATCTTTTCTGGTCGTCTCCTAGAAGTCAAATAGTAACTATGTGTGTATTTTGAGATGAAAAGTATTTCTACACTCAGTGGTTTATGTTGTTATAAGGCAACATCCACTGTATAACTTCACTGAATAATTTATTCTAGATGGTCCAATAGATCTAAGTATGAAAATTTAGTACTAATGATCTTTGCTATTGAATGATTAAACGCACACAAAAAAAAAACATTTCTCAAATAGGTCGCAGTTATTTTTGAAATCGTCGAAACATTACAAAGTTTAATATATGACTAATTCAATTTCATATATACATATAGATAAATCAAGGCTTTATTGTTTTGAAGCAATATATATAAAATCTGATTTCTATTAGTTTTAAATAAATGAGAAAAAAGGAAATCTTTTTATAATTGTTGTTAAATATAAATGAAAATAAAAACTCACAATACAAATACTGCATATGATCATAATAATTCTTCGTGTCCGTCGTATTTCAGGATCGTCAGTTAATAACGATGGTTTGGCAAGAGGCAAAGTTGGAATAGAGATCGTAGCCATATTACTAACATCAGTTTCGGCTTGCATTCAAATATTATTTAATTTCTTAAATAGAATAACGAGATAACATCATTATTAATAAGGTCAAAAATGTTTATATGAACACATTACAATACATTTCGTATTTTTTTTTTCTGCCTTTATATTCATTGTTCACAGTTAAACTATGTCACAAATTCAACCTATTAAAGAAAGTTCGATAATTGAGACATATTGAAACTATGAAATGCTGTAATACATTTCAATACATAGAATACCATTTGTTGCAAACAAAAAAGAAACTTACAAAAGTTATGGGATTCTTCAAAACTATGTAGAGTTCTCAGCTTGAGCTACAGTTATTACAATACTGTAAATCTGAATTATGGCATGAGACTTTTATGGATAGGATGTGGATTGTATAAAGACTGACACTTACATCCTTAAACTACATAAAAATACCTTTTAAATCAGTAGTATCCAAGAATTGAGAAATAGGAATTTCGAATTTGCCGAGCTCTCGACTTAATTATGATAATTTCTCTGCAAGGAATTTTCTCAAAAAAATTTAATGCAAACAATTGATTTTTTTAAAAATAATGTACTATGAAAATGATTAAGGTCATTTATTTTAAATGAATTCCATTTGATATCGAAATAATTTTTTATATAATTAACAGTAACAAGTGTAAAAGAAAATGTAAACTATTATAATTTTCTTTTTTCTGTATGAATGAAGTATTTAACCATTTCTTATAGTAATATCTAGAAAACATCGAAGACACATAAGGAGCTGTTTTCTTGACATAAAATATTCAATTTCAAAATAATATTATCTCACCGAATAAACCTACTTTATATTGAGGATGTTACCCCCCAAAAAAAAAAACGAACAAATCTCGACAAAATTTTAATTAAAATAAAAATCATAAGAGATAAAATATATATTGTTTGTAATAGAAAACATTTTTTAAATGAATAATGAACATAACAAAATGAAAATAAGAAACAACTCACAAACAATATTGATACTATTGGTCAACTGAAGCACAAACAGAAATACATTTACACCATTGTTACTATGGGTCAAGTGACCATGCATATACATACATGCATACATACAATTAAATTCAATATGTAGCGTATCTAAGAAGGTTTGAACCAATAGAATTCAATGTTTTTTTTTTGGATGAAAAACTAAAAATCTCTTTGAAATAAATGTAAATGTATATTGGAAAATAGAGTTCTATTTCAACTAAAGAGAAACGAAAAATGTTTATATAAGAGTATGAAATTCATTTGGAATTTACTTTTGTGAATGATTTCGTTAGTCACAGCCACATACTTGATCACACTTTCATCTATTCGTGCTCACGTTTTATGTTGAAACTTTCGGTTCACTCGAGACGATGTTTAATTCAAATTCGATCATTTTAAGACTGATTCATGAATCTGACAAGAAGTTTCATCTGATTTTTTTCGTTTAAAGACAGGACTAACATGTTTTGTTGTTTACAAAAACAAAAAAAATGTTCGGAGACAGATAGTTCTGTAGCATGCAACAACTTCATACTAAACGATGTGAGCAATACATGACACAATCAAGAAAATGGGATTTTGTGTTAGCTCGTAGGTCATTGGATATATATAAAACTCTTCCAATGCTTAAAATGTGAAATCAAAATAAACTGCATGTAGAAAAAAATTTGTTTATAGACGCGTCATCCGTTGATGTTATTAGGTTTGTTATAGATAGTTCCAAGGAGAGCAAATGAAACAGTTGGATAGTTCCCATATTGTTTCACTCAATGATAAAGATTTTCGTTCATGTTCTATGCCGAAAGTACCAATCGATAACTTGCCAAAGTCATCGGTTACATTTTTGCAACTTGAGTCTGTAGCAGACTCAAATGAAATAGTTTTATCCGAATTTCTTTTAAACTCCAGACTAATTGAATTTTAGGGGCTGCGTATAAAATTTTCGGAAACTTCATTATACTTTATAACCGTCTCATATTAGCAAATACATTTGAGTATTGAATTTGAAGAATTATGCTACCAAAAGATAAAATTCTGCTTAATAGAATGTTTCATTCAAAAAAGAATAACATTCTCTTCTTACAATAAAGAATAGAAATGTAATGAAACCTTCTTGATAAAAATTGCTAAAATAACAATTTAAATAATTTTTTTTTTACTTTTCAATCCTTGTTTTTCGAAAAATCACCAACTTGTATCGAAAAGTAAGCAAAAAAGTATGTTATTTTCTATCTTCTTGTGAGTTTATGACGTCTGTAGATTTAAATATCACATCTCATAATATAGAGCACCATAATAATCATAAAAAATTGTCACTGATAACGATTTGCTAAATACAATATTTAGTTTGGAAACAAACTCATTGGGTTATCTCGATACTGCATCGTCGCTGTTCACTAGACTTTATTTTTGTCGTTTTTATTACAAGTAAACTCATAAAATTCTCAATTAGAATTGTCATGCTTGTCAGAATGTATAAAAGCACTAGAAAAAAAAGCTTATGAAAGGTAATCAGTCAGCAAAATCAAAAATGGTACATACTAAGCATGTGGCAAAAATAGTTATTTGTATTGGTTTGATATTTTCCATGCCTTCTGTAGCGAGAGTTGTAAAATTAGACGATGAAGCATTCAAACAGCAAGTGAAGAAGAACAACGATAGTTTAAGAACAACGTGGCCTTCATTCACCAATAGCTCATACAGCTATATTTTAGGGTTATTCGATCAACAGCTTAATTCAATGTTAACATATGATTCAACACCACAAGAACATGCAATGTTCATGACAGCTATACTCTTATCTCAACAGTATAACATGACAGTCAATGGAAAACAATTCGCCTATCGTCTGGAACATTCAAATGGACGTGATGTAATCGAAACATTGTATCGCACTTGTATGGCTATATCTGAAAACAAAATTATAGGCATCGTTGGACCAGCATATTCAAGTGAAGCAAGACTACTTGCACGTCTCTGTAATCGTGCTGGTTTTCCTGTTATTGGCTATTCAACTACAGATCCAGAACTATCAGATCGTAATGCATATCAAACATTCTATCGTACAATACCGTCTGATATTATAACCGCACAAGCATTATTGAAATTATTCCAGAAATATGATTGGAATTCAACAAATATTATATATCAGGACGATAATTACGGTGAAGGTGGACTGCAGGCGATAAAGAAAGCGTTTACTGATGAGATCAAGATATCACAGAAAATAAAATATGATTTATCTACAGATCATATAGATGATTTACGAAGTCAATTGGAAGAAAGTCCATCACGAATTGTCATCGTTTGGGCAGATGAAAATGTAACAACAAAAATCATACAATTAGCATTGGAAGCAGGAGATATTCTAGCGCCATCATTTCTATGGATTTTCACAGCTCTTCATTCAAAAATGCAGTTGAAAGATAAGCAATTAATTGGAATGTTACTGATCAGACCTGTCACACCACAAATATTTAATGTGTCAACTAATACAACACTGTTAAAAGATGCCATTGATATCTGGAAAAACTATGATAACCAGTCGTATCCTGGTGATGAAACAAAAATCGATGGTTATGCACTATATGCATTTGATTCTGCATGGTTATTAATCTTAGGCTTCCAAGAATTTTGCCAGAGGAATTCCAATAATTGTCTTTCATTAGTGAACACGAAACACTGTTTTACTACTCATCTAAAAAACCGAGACAAACTTCATAAAATCCTTAAAAATATCAGTTTTCTGGGCGTTTCAGGATATGTACAATTCCTCGAGAATGCAACTGATCGTTTGACTGGAAGTGGTTCACATTTTATAATTGACAATCTGCAACCTTCAAAATCGAACACAAATGAATTATATGCTGAGGAAGTCTTGAAGCTGAATGGTAGTACAAGTAACCTTAGTCGTGATAGTACAACTCAATGGATTAGTACACTGAATCCAATCCGATGGCCAACACATTCGGGTGCAAAACCAGACCATTATGTACCTCTGAAAGGTAAGACGAGCACAGTTGAACGAGACATAAGGAAAAAACAAAAAGTACATGGAAAAGTACATATTTTCTCGATTTTTTTTGAACTATTGATTCTTACAGTCTATGGTTCTGTTATGTACAGAGTCCACTGTATTTACATGAGTCAACAACTTTCTTGGATAAAAACTCGTGAATACCAAATTGACTATGACTTCCTTACGTATTGAATGATGTAATGTTCGTCTTGTGTGCCAAATTAGACACAAAAAAAAAGCCATGAAGAAGGACCTAGAAATGACGTTTTAACAGAACTTTAAAAAAATTTCATGCGTTTTCTGTGATATTTATAGCTAATCACATGTTGACTCTAGCAGGATTCTTATACTCGTTCTTGTTGTGCTTGAATGCTTCTTTGAATATCTTTTAGACAATATGTAACGATAACGACTATAACAATACTTATCCAATTATTTTCTAGGTGTACGATTAAACATTACTGTTCCCATATCACCTCCTTTTTATATGGAAGAGTTCAACAATAGCACTAATAAAACTGACAAGTCAGGTTACCTTTACAGGTTAATATCATTACTTGAACAACGGGCAGGATTCAGCAGTAATTTGATTGTCGCTCCAGATGATATTAGTTACGATGAATTAGTTGAATGTGTTCGAAACGGTACCTACGAAATTGTTATGGCCGATCTAGCTCAGACTCCAAGTCGTTCGAACAAAATTGATTTTAGTGTATCAATCTACGATAATTATATGCGATTGGTAATTAGAAAAAGTGGAAAAGTGTACGCTTCTTGGCACGCATTCGTTTTACCATTTGATGGCCACGTATGGTTGGTTATAGGTATTACGTTGGGCATGTCAGTTCTACTAATTTTTGGATATGAGAAAGTAGAGGGAAAGCGGCAACCAGATAAGAAAAAATCTGATATCTGTGATCAATCGATACTGGGGTCATTTCTGAAATCATTCTATCATACAATCGGTGCTATGGCACAAACAGGAAGTGAATTACGAGTGAAGTCATTTGGTGGTCGAGGACAAACCATTCTTCTTTGGTTGACAAGCATTTATCTAGTGTCACTTCTAACGTCCAGTATGACTACATATTTTATTGAAAAACAGAAGAAGCCTTGGATACAAAGTATAGAAGACTTAAAAATGTGTGGCAAATTATCGTGTGATCGTATTGGTGTTGTTGAACGTTCACAACACGAGGAATACGTTATGCAGCATCTTATGAATGGAAATCAGATGGATTATCATCGTTTAAAACATCAAAGAGAATGTTATTCGAAATTGTTAAATTATCATATTGATGTTGCGATAGCTGATAGTTCCAGTGCCGAGTATTTTACGCAAACAAAACAATATTGCCAACTAGAAGTAGTTGGATTTCCATTTGGCAAAACAGATTTTGGAATTGCTGTACCAAAATTATGGCAATATAAGCAGGATTTGGATAATCATATTATGAAATTGAAAGAGGAGGGCGAAATTGATCGACTGTTAGAAGAATATTTTCAAGAGAAATATTGCGATAAGAAGGACGGTCATGAAGGTGTTGGTGATGGACTTCACTTAAGTCAAGTATATGGACTGTTCGTTGTCCATTTTGGTCTCGCTATTATCATTTTGGTGATATCAGGTCTAAAATGGAATTTTGTGGATCATAAGCAAAATGGGAAATCATGCTCATCTAATAGAAATACAATTACACAACCGTCTGAGGCAAATGAGTGTACAAATTCGGATAACACAATCTCATCCCTAACGCAACGGCAAGAGGCACGACAATTAAAACAGAAAATACAGAAGTGCAAGGAACAACGGCAGAATATGACACAACCAGCAACTACTATTTCATAATTGTTAGTATCAATAAATGACGCTCTGTTATCATTGTGCGATGGTCCATTGTCTCTCCTTCTCCAATACAGTTCGTCATCGTCCAGTCAAAATATATACTTCTCACTAATAAGCGTAGAAGACAAAAACAAATGTTTCTTGGATGATCTCTTTATTTTTAATCAGAAACCATTCTTACATGTGTGCACATAATCTTTCCATTTTCTTTCGTTGTGCCCATTAAAAACGATGAAACACATTTTCATCAAACTAAATGATACTTAAAGACAATAAAGGGTGTGAGTGTCAAGAAAATTAGGACCATCACCCACATCCAAAATTATGAATTTATATCGTTTAATTTATTATTGAACAAATTATGATATGACAAAGATTGATAAATAATAATTATTAAAATCATGAAGTTATTTAAATAAAAAAAAAATCCTTATTAATGATTAAATATTGTGTATGTTGTTCTATATTAAACCAAGAATTTTTTATTGAGTTAATCATTCTTATTTTCTTTTAAGAATTAACTTGTATGTTTTAGTTTGACTCTTAAATTCAAATGAAATAAGACCAAGAATTGTTACTTATTTGATTTAGCGAAAATCTTTTTACTAACACGAACAAAATCGAAATATTTAAAGTAGTATTTTATCCAAATTTTCTCTTCTGTAGGGTCAATTCAGCGCTTCAGGAGAGCACGCACCTATGAATGACAGTGCAGACAAACTATATATGAGACAAGAAATATATAAGCTCTCGATGGACGTATTTGGTCTTCGAAGAAGCCCTGTTCTCTCAGCCTTCATGCTGAATAAAATACTGATTCATAGACATATTTAATAAAAGACTTCAAAAACACTCATAGCAATTCAAATGATTCTCTCGTGTCGATAATTATTTGCACGAAACAAAACAAAAATTGTTAAAAATGAATCTAAAGAATCATTATTATTGAAAAATTATCAATTAGTAAAATGAAATCATTCTAATAGATGTTCATCAGAATCCCGTCGTGCACACTTATCTAATAACTTTAATGAGACTATTGCACATGCAATATATTCAATTAGTGTTCAAGATCTAAAATTATTTAATGAGCATGCTATTGAACAGAATGGTGTATCAACTTTACATGCTAGTGGTGGTATATCAAGAGTTTCCTAATATCATCGAATGAAAATTTGTCAAACACTTTTTATAGTTTTCAAATGCAAATGATTGATAAAAATATTATCAATGGACAGCAACAATGATGATAGTCTGAGCGCGGTTGATCGGTCACTAAATGGGCATCGTAAATAAAATTCATATGTGGAATATATGGCTACGTCTAGAACCTTTAGTCCAAAATCCAAATCCAAAGCTATTAGTACAATTACGTAAATTTTTCTTAGATGTTGAACACAACGATGTGTGTTAGAGCGTCAAATACAAAAATTTTCAGGTTAGTTAGTCATTTTTTGATTGAGTGTATATGATTTGCTACATTTTTCCGAACAGAAAGCATTACAAGATGTAGCAAAATATTTATATTGTGCAACAAATCTTTTTAGATTAACAGATACACATATCGAATCAGAGACTTAACTGTTTTTTGTTGATCGTAATCTCTCTTTCTCTGAAACTTGAGTTTCAAAAAAAGTGATCAATACCAAAAACGCTGCAAAAACTGTGACAAATATTCATAAAGATTGCGAAGTTGGTTTCTTTGTGAACCAAAGCATTGCCAGGGAAAAAAACCAAGTCTAGATTGCTTTCGACATTCGATAATATCTGCTTCTCTTAGACTTTTCTGGCATAAAGACATATCGTGTTGGGAGAATTTCTCTGTAGAAGTCAATCTGATGAAGAATGTTTAATCCGTTTTTTCAGTATGCGTTTAGAAAATAATGTCTAGCCATTCGTCGAAATGTTCACTTTTAATTCATCATACAAAACGCACAAAATACCATTCTGCGATTTTCTTTATAGATAACAATGTATATGAACTGTAGTAACCTTTATTAGAAAATCAGTTATAGTAATAAGGACTTGTACTTGATTGATTTTGACGTTTAGAGTTTTGAATACCTAATATCATGCAAATTCTGTGAATCTGAAGCAGTCTTTAGACGCTGATCCGTTTTGTTCTCTTTATATTATTCGGTAAGCAGAGATACACATATTGATATATGTCGACGTTTCAAAAAGCATGCTTTTCGCATGATTTAAGTCATACTTTCTCGACGTAACGCTTCAGATCGCTTGCCCAATCCATAAACCGCTCCTGCAATTTATCGCCGTAGATTGATCGTATGATATAAGCGATTGGCCCAGCAAATGTTTCCCATGTATGATATTCGCATGTGCCATCCTCTTTGTCTTTCATCTCGTGTACTCTTTCAGCTCGCAACAAGCAAGAAGGGGCACCAGTAAACTTCCAGCATATCTTGCCCCTTTCGGAATCAAGCACAGTGACTTGCTGGCGAGATGATGTCGCGGAACCACCTGGCTTCATATACACTGTGAAGCGCATGTCGGTGTCTACCTCCAGTTTCTCGGCATTATCACTCTGATCTGACGGCCGCTTGATAATCTCAACAAAAGGTACGAAAGTGTTCCATTTGTGCCAATTTTCGGTATCGACAATAGCAAAGAAGATGCATGAGGCAGGAGCAGAGATTACAATTGAAGATGAGACTGTAAATACCCCGCCGTTGGATAGTAGTGGTGTTGGCAGAATCTCTTGCTGTCGTTTTACAGTTGTGTGCATGGCTTAGTGACGTAGCTCTAGAAACAGATGATAACAAGCCTGAATTTAAAAAAGTGAAGCTCTAAAGAAGGTCAATTCTATACTGAAACGCCAACAAATAATTTCTGTTCTAAGATGATTTTTAATCTATTAATTCAATTAAATTTTATTACTTTTATGTCAACTTCACCGTAAATTAATTTCATTTTGATTTCTATCTTATTTTTTTTCTGCTTAATTATTGATATAATTTTCTATCAAAGAAATGACTACATATAGGAAGAGAATCTTTTAAATTTAAGAAAAGAATGTCTCGTATTACCTCGTAGTGAAGGAACGAGAACGAGCTAAGGACTTACCTATTTGTGTTGTTCGACGATATAACTAAATGGTATGCGAATTGCTAATTGAATATCGTTTTTATACCTACTCAGTTTACGTTTTTCTTTCCTTTAAGCAAAAAAAAAACGAATGTAATACTTTTTGGTTGCAGAACAAGCTGAATGCTTACTCATCCATGACCGAAGGTGTCGATCGGTAGTTGCTTATATGCAAAGTACGTATCGCAACGTGTGACCAATGAACGCATTGTGACGTTTATATATCAATATAGAATCGTTTAAGAAATAACATCGAACAAATCATGTGATCAAAGTCGCGTCACTTTTGGCAATTAATCACTATACTTAAAAAAAGATCAACCTTAAATGGTAATTAAGTATCGATTTTTTAAATAACAAAAAAATCGTCGATTCATCGCGATTAATTAGTGATTTTACAACAAACTTCAGCCGAAATTATTGTTTTATAAAAATCTTTTTTTTTTTACGGATGATATCTTAGATCCAGATTCCACCTTCTTTACAGCCAATTCGCCCAGAGGCTTGTACTAATACCACTTGAACTTCTTTCAACTATAACTTGATGAGCTTTATCGAGTAGTGAAAACCGTTTCTCGATAGTGTGCTTCGTTTTCTAGAAGCTCTTGCTAAACTGGTGACTATCCCTACTATGTACCTGGAAAAAAATGGAAAAAAACACCCTCACCCACCGATGCCCTACTAAACGTTTTTTTTACAATGTTCTTATTCTTCGTGCTGAAATTTTGTGTTTAAATTACCGAATCACGAACAGAAGATGCCACTAAGAAGTACGATAACATAAATATTGGGCTTTCTAGCCATCTCAATTTTTTTTATTTCACGTATAATATACAGATGAACATGTAAAAAGGTTAAACATTTCTGTGCTAAAATAAGTTTCGAATTGTCAAACAGCACCAGATTCGACTGTCACCAAATTTTCGATCTGCAATTCAGGTGAAACTCAAAACTACATCTTTTGCCATTTATAAGATTATTAAAAAGTAAATAGTTTGAATTTAGTAACATTAGGAGAGAATTATTTCAACTTATCTAGTCAGAATATTTCACACAATTACAAATTATTATTTCTTAATATCAATATCAAGATTGTAATTAATACAAGATTTAATAATGAAAAAGGATCTTATATTTTGTTTTTAATTAGGTTACATCTATTAATAAATACCATAGTAAAAAGATGGGATTGTATCAATGCAAAATTTATTAATGATGAAAGTAATTCCTTCATTTTGAAAAATACCTATGCAATCGATCATTTTACTAGTTACAATATTTTTTTGTTTTTTTTCACTTTCAACAGGGAAATCTATCGAAGCTTGAAATTTCTAGATCATATAACATTGAAGAAGTTTTATGTTTCGTTAAGTAAAAAAAGATATTTTTTTTTCACGTCAGTATTCAATATTTTTTGCGCGATTGTTTTAACAAAACGATTTTGTTTCTCTTTTTCTTTTTCGTTCTTTACTTTTGAAAAGCAAGTTAAAAGAAATGTTACATAAAGTAAAGTATAAAAAGGAATAGAAGAAAAAAAAAACAGACTTATTTTTCAAAATCATCGAGCAAAAAGAAACACAAAATTCAACGCTGCTAAGGTATGATATAAAGAACAGAAAAAATGATCACTGCATGTTTAGAATTTATTGAAAGTTTATTGAAAATACACGATTTTAAGAACATGTGCTTATTTCTACTACTCATAAAAATGAAATTCTCGATGTACATATGTATTTTTATTTGTATATTGAAAGAGTGTAAAAAAAAGTATTGATTAAGTTTATGTGAAATGAATGAGTAAATCTACATCAGCAGCTTTCAAGGTATGATTGGTACTGTGAAAGATTGAATAATAAACCTAATGAACGAATAACATATTTGAAATAGGTTTGGTAGAATACTCTTACTCAGTAATATGTGACAAGGTGTTTAAAAGGGATAGTAATACAGAGTTTTTATTGTCTGATAACCAGAAGAAAGTTCAGAGTAACAAAATGAGTGGGCCGAATAAGGATTCAAACTTTTATGCACGAACAGTAGCCATCGTTCTAACTGCTTAGTAGGGTGGTAGATGCAGAGGAATGCTAAGAGAGATACAAGTATTTAGAAAGATCTGCTGGTATCACGATTCGCCAAAAACTTATGTGATGTTAAAGAGTTTATATGGCAACCTTTCTGAACTTAGATTAATCTTATTAAAGAATCATCCTTTCATAAAATGCAATATAGGTAACAAGTATCCTGGAACTTTAAAAAAATCCACAAGCGTCAAAAAATAAGTTCCAGTAGCTCCTTCATAATATTTGAATTTATTTTTTCACAAATTTAATGATTTTTTTTTGTAGATAATTTAAACTCTTTCTATCGATGTTTGATGTTCATGTCATCTTTAGAGACAGAGAAAACATCCAAGGATATATTTCCTAGTGAAACACATCGTGCAGCAATTGATTCCACTGGACGAGTCGGTTCACTGTATGATGGATATCGAGATTGTGTTCTGCAGAGATTAGAATTTCATAAGATAGACGAAACATTTAACATAAGTGAACCGAGACAATGCGAAGTAATACATGGTCAACATGATCGCAATCCAAATATTTTGAAAATAATGCGTATTGAAGAAGAATTAAGATTAAGCTTATTATTGAATATGTCAAAAAAATCTGGAACAGACACAATGATTGATTATTGTCAACCCATCAATGAATATACCCGTTTCATTCAATATTCTTCTGTAAAACGAGAAGAAAAACTTCCTGACAATCCTGCAAATATTAAAGTTGTCAATAGATTACCACCATTTTCCACTGCTGCAACTCATATTATTACAAAAGTATATTTTGGAGTTAGTTTCACTGTCATTTTACAATTGCCAAATGTTTCGAACACAGTTGCAGCGATTGATAAAGTACTTACAACACTTTGTAACCGTTTACAAAATCATCAGAGCGCTTACCTATTAACCACATATGAAAAAAATATCTTAGAAAAAATAGTACACACAAAAGTCTATTCAAATATATCCCATTTCAGAAATCTTACTAAGATCTGGGATGTTTGTTGTTTGATCCAACAAAACCAATGTTATCTTGCCAATTATCCAATATCTTACACTCTTCGCTCCATGAAAGAGTTCTTTCCTGAATATCATGGAGAAATTGCACAGTTCAATATTCTACCTGAAGAGTTCAATGAAGCTATCGAAAATTATGTATTTCAAATAACAGTTAGTATGAAAACATTAGAAAATTCTATGACACGGGACATGCCAAAATTCTTATGTGAGCATTTGAAACGACAATTTAATAACATTGAAACACAATGGCTGGATGTGAAAAATAAATTTACAAATGAAATAGAACGACTTTCAAAACTAGTTGTTGAAAATCGAAGTAGTAGAACTAACAACTTCACGACCCATAATAGACTTTACAATAATGAACAAATGATGATGCAAACCAGTATTACTAATTTAACTCAAAATCTAAAATGTTTGGAGAAAAAAGAATATTTCATTAGGAATTTACACAGGCGAAGGTTTCAATATTTGAACGCTGATGTTTACAAAATCGATAGAACAGATAATGAGAAAACTATTGCACATAAACTGGTTAATGATAATCAATATTATCGAATTCTGTGCTCAAACGATTGTTTAAACGAAAATAATATTAATGAGTTAGAAAAACTAATATCTAATTTAACTGAAGAACTAAAAAATAATCCTAATTTATATCTTATCTATGCTGATTTTTCCGATTCTTCTTTTCCATTATCTCATATGATGGTATTGCAATAGCCGAAAAATCTTTTCAAGTGAACAATGGTATGATGATGATGGTCATTAAAATGCATATGAATTAGTCTTTTAATCATTTTATATTCACTGAGACTACTTTTCAAGACTGCGGATGTGAAATTCAGGTTAACGTCGTATAACCTAAGTGGGCCTGCTTGCAGTGCAGGTAGAACTTTGTTAAGTAGAATCGGACGCCAGTTAACCTTTGAAAAGTGTCGAGTTCATTTATGTAACACAATTAACCGCTCACTATGTATTTTTACCAGGATTCTGTTGGAAATCAGTCTGTAAAAGAGATATTGGTACATTTTATCCATAAACAATATAGAATTTGCCTTAGTTGTTGTTATGGAAACTGTAAAATGTAAATGTATTGGTGTATTAAATTCAAAGCAAATAATTTTTTCAATAAATTGCACATTAAATATATCACAATCTCAATTTGTGCAACTATCTTTGTACTGCACTTCATTTCTAAGTTCATGATTCAAAAATGATCAAACAATTTTTTTCCTGTTTTGAACAGAGAACACGAGACAATTGCTGTTCAAAGAACTATTGTCAACAAAATATCATCTTAGGAAGAGACCTAGAGTGGGGCGTAGATTGTGGGTTTTCTCTTTTACCATCAATATGCACATGCACCTCATTTCCTCGTGAAATAGCAGAATATTTTGTTAAGTTTTTATTATATTTATCTTTGAAAACAAGAACAACAACGCCTGACTTTATTTTAGCAAGAATAGCATAATTGCACAAGAGAAACGTAAATCTGAACCTAGAAAAGGTGGTGGTCTCATATAATCATAATAATGTGTCACATCTTTCTAGGTTGAATAATAAATTTAGCTTCATGATGATTTGTACGTGTATGAGGCTCGTGTTTGGACACATTATCAAAATGTTTTTCATGTGTATGTCTCACAGCCTCAGTTAGAAATGCATCCTGAATCTATACAGACATAATAATGCCGCAATAGCTTTTCATCATGACAAGAAAACAACACGTACTCGTACAAATTGTTCGGCAACCATTTGCCCAGCTGTCTAATGTCTTGAAACAGTGCTAACAGCAAATAGACCCTACGAATACGAGGCAAACGTCTAAACTGCCGTTCTACATACCCTGATGTTCCTTCGTCACTACCAGCTGCAGTTCGATCTGTCGTTTCTTATCCATCTTCAGCAGTTCCAGCAATAGAGCTGTCTGTGGAGTTGGGTGCATCACTATGACCTTCAGTTGATGATTCTGTTTTCTTATCATCGCAGTGAGACGTTCGACGAGGATCTGAAACGCGCATTCCACCTAAACATAAACGAATACATGAGAGCGTCTGTTTTGATTCAGAAAAGCATTTCGATTTGTGTCTTACCAACTTTCATTGCTGGCGCATGACTAGCTTTAAAGTCATTTCTAGGTTTTTCATCAACTGATTCTGTCGTATTTGACATTATTAGTTCGGATAAGCGCTATGAAATTTGCGAAAACAACTATATTAACGAAGAAGTAGCAGCAGAGTTAGTCTAAAAGAATTACAAAATAAATATAATGAACAACTGTTTGATAGATTGGGAAATAAAAATAATCTTAGACGATCATAGATTCATTAAGTATTGTTGCGCTCACAATAAAAGTGAAAAGGGCATTCGATACATGTTGCATAATTTTAACTGGTTTTGGATAACAATATATATGTATGAGTGGATTCTTTCGTCTCGAAAGCAGGGAATAACAAAGTAAACGTGTAAGGGAGCTACTACCTCCCATGTAGAGTTAACTGCGATAAGGTGTCGAGCATAACCTCTGCTGGTTTCTCAGTGTTTACAGCTCCGATTGTATTTTAATTATAACAAACGGAATCAGGGCTTTCAAAACCCCATTTTCTTAAGCGACTCTTGTAAGAGTTAATAAATATGTGTTAATTTGCTCAAAAGTAAAATCGAGTGAAATTTAGATTTAATAAAGTGTAAATTGAATTGATTGAAAATGAAAGTCAATAAAATATAATTTTAATGAACTACTTCTCTGTTTTGAACAATTTTTTGTAGCAAGTGAAAAGTAGTCAAATTCAGATTCGGAAGAATGTTGCAAAGAAAAAGCAGCACGACGTTGTCACCCAACTAAATGAGTCACGAAGATTTAGAGATCTGAAGCTGAAAACGAATCTCATAAGCGAATAATTCGATCCGACTCAGCCGAATCAGATATAGTGTTTCCTAACATATTCGGTTGACATTGATGTCATCATCACGATATAGTGGTATCATCGCTTCTAATTTTTTTCAGTGAGTGACTTAGAAGACAATTGCTATAATAAAGAAAAGAAATTATCTCTTTTAATTCCGGAGTTTTTTTAAAGTCTACATTGTATGTCAGGTGCATAATAGAGTAGATAAAATTAAGATGAATCAAAAAACATCATTAGTGCAGAACTTAAAATGCTTCAATTATCTTTTTGTACTGACTGAAGTTTAGTGCACCAACCTTATAATAAGGACGGTCAAAGTATCAGAGATGTTTATGACTCTATAGATTGATAAAAATGATCACATCTATGATGCTTTTCTTTCAAAAAGAAGACCAACAATTCATTTCTAAAGCTATCATCTGAAAGAGCAGAATGTGACTGACACAATAGATTAATCTAATTTGAAAAATAATCATCTTAAAATATCTTAAAAATTCGCAATCTAAAACCTATAGGGTTGAAAAGCACGTAAAAAGTTATATCGAATGGAGTATTTTTAAATGTTGATCAATCTTTTCTTCGATTGGCTATGATGAGTTCTTCATTTATCGTAATATCGATAGGTTTGACTATGGGTGTGGATGTGGGGTGTGGGTGTGGATGGGTAGGTGGGGTGGGTGTGTGGGTGTGTGGGTGTAGCTCTGGCTGTATGGATGTCCCTATAGCTCGTATCGACAGTGACGCCAACACTCACATACCCACCTCACCCTACACCCGCACCCATCCACACCCACACACTCCACCCCACACCCACAAGCGGCTGTGGGTGGATAAGAGTGTGGATGAAGGACTCTTTCGTCCAGCATTATTATCGAGTCTGCCGTGCCGTGAAATTGCATTTATCTTGTTGCTAGACAAAACACATCGATATAAGACACAAAAAGTTTTCATCTGCGTGGGTATTGAACTAGTGCGTCATCTTCCTATCGTTGAGACTTGCAATTGCCAGTAACTTCAGATGGCAGAAACATAGCGTGTTACTATATTAACCTTTCAACAGAGGCTATGCTACAGTGTAGTTCCATGTGATGTTCGACAATATGAATTCATGACCAAAAATTCAGTTAACGATTTTCCTGTGCAATTCCTATCTTTATTACGAATTGGTGAATGGATGATCTGATCCTCATTAAGCGTATCTGAACAATCCGAAACAACGACATGAAGATGAGAAACTTTTCGGCTGGTATCACACAGCACACTAATTATGAATGAAAAGCATCAGTCGAATAATAAGCATATTGCAGAATAAATAGCACAACATAGGCTTAAGTGGGATTTCGTTCGTTTCAAAAACAACATCAAATTGTTTTTCGTTTTATAATACACCTATGCAAATAATAGATTGATGAATTAGTGAGTGAAGAATGAAAGTTGGCCTGTCATCCTTACGTCAATGTCAGTTAATAAAAAGCATCGATACGTCGATCGATGCACTGCTGTATGACGCCTGTGACTGCTTTCTTTCTTTTCATAGGAGTTTTATCAACTATCTTAATTTCTAGTAGTAATCAAATCTTGGATGTTGTCATTGTCGGAGCAGGTCCAGCTGGCATTGCTGCAGCAATCGACCTTAAAAAGGCTCCAGCGTCAATCACAATGACGATACTGGAAGCACGACATCGTGTGGGAGGACGAGTCTATACCGATACGCAAACATTTGGCAATGGTGTGGCTGCTGATATTGGCGCCGAATGGATTCATGCTTATGGGCCGGAAAATCCCTTATATAGTCTACATCGGCAACTGCAAACAAACGAAGATAGAGAAGGTGATGGCTATTTTGTTTTCTTCGAACCAGAAGTAACTGGATGCTACGATACGGCTGGTTCCATTGTATCACATCAAACGTGTGTAAGAGCGCAATATACCATGGATAAGTTATTTTCGCCAAAATATAACGCAACTTTAAGAATTCGAGACGTATCCGTTCGGGACATGATCCGGCCTGAATACGAGAAAATATCAGAAGGACAAATTAAACGGCTTGTTGAAGCCATGTTAATCGGAAAAGAACAGTATGAAGCTGCTGATCTTGATCGACTCTCTGCCAGACAAACTTTCTTCGGTGATTCACCTGGTGATGACGAAGAAGCACAAGGTGAAGATATGGCATTGAAAAGAGGATTCGGATCTTTGATTCAACGAATTGTCGACAGATTTACATTACCTGTACAATTAAATACCGAAGTAACTCATATCGTCACCAGTAACTCAAGTCTTGTTCAAATCTCAACAAAAAATGGCGAAACTATTCAAGCGAAGTACATCTTGATTACTGTTCCATTGGGTTGCTTAAAACAGCAAACGATTGTATTTGAACCGATTTTGCCTCAATGGAAACAGAATGCAATAGATAGTATGGGGTTTGGCGATACGGACAAGGTTATTCTACAATTTAATAAGGTATTCTGGGATCCAAGTTTTACTTCATTCTACATAGCTGGAGCATCTTTTCCATTTGCTGTTTGCGCTCCGAAGAAGCGTATCCTTGCGTTTATGATTGGTGGAACACGAGCTCGTCGTATGGAAGCATCCAAAGACGACGATACCGTTGCTACGATTCTCCATGATCTAATAAGAGCATTTCCTAATCATGCCTTCCAACTGGAACAGTATCGAATATCACGATGGACACAAGACCCGTATGCACGTGGTTCTTATTCCTATTATGCATTTAATACATCATCAGAAACATTCGAAACTTTGGCAAGAGAATGTTGTCATAATCAATTGTTTTGGGCTGGTGAACATACTCGTTCGGGTGGTTCAGTACATACGGCTTTTGCTACGGGTCAACGTGAAGCAAAGAAGATTTTACAGCGGTTGAAAACAAAATGAATTATTGGGTTAACAACAATTGAATCAAGACTTTTTCAACTTTTTTGAACACTCGAGCCTTTTTTTTTATTCACTAGGTCTTGCAATTGCATTAACGGCGCAGAATTACAGCAATTCCTAAACTTCTCGAAAGATCAATACCTTTGTATCAAGCAGGTTGATGATGATTTTACTAAAGACGAACATACCAATATGTTTGATAAATCTGATAAAAATGACATTATCAAGTATTAGTTGAATATTTTCTACTGAAGGTGTGGGTGTGGGGTGTGCGTGGGGGTGGGTGTGGGTATGGATGTGAGTGTAAGTGTGGGTGTAAGTGTGGGTGTGGGTATTCTCCTTACCCATACCCACACCCACACCTACGCACCCACACCCACACCCACACCCACACCCACACCCACCCACACCCACACCCACACCCACACCCACACCCACACACCCACACCCACAC